TAATCAAATAACGCACTACCAGGGTTATTTCAGATTAGCCCGCTTATCCCCCTGACATGAATCTAATCGTGCCAGTTATCACTATTTCAGGACAATTAAATAATTACGGATTTAATGCCTCAATTGACAAAAGATTACCAAATCAATTAATTATCTGGATCCAAAACAATCAATTAATTAAATAACCATAAGCATAGCAATCAAGGAATATGCGAATACCAATAAATAAGAGAGAAAGATAAAATTAAATTGATTTCACAATTTTTAGGCGAACCAAATCCTTCGTTGTTCCTTGACTAGAGTGAAGAAATTAGTTCATATTTGATAAACAAAATTCCCAAACAATTGAAGCATGAGCTGCGGCCATCGATTGGAAAATTGGGCTAATCAATTTGTTCTATTCAATCGGAAAAACAAGCTACAGGAGGCAACTGATTGTCTTTGTTTTTGTCTGACATCCAAAGAAGAGAAAGTGACTAAGAATTGAAAGGAATTAAAGTCAAAAGCTTTACCAATTTGCTCATCACATTCACGGGAGAAGAAAGGAGCAGGAAACCAAAAAGTTACATAAGAAAAGTCAAAGGCAAAAGCTAAGCTCCTAAGCAATCCTCCATGCGTAAGAAAAAAAAAACTAGCTAAAAGACAAAGGAAGAAGTCAACAAAAATGCTAAGCTCTCCTCGCCATGCGTAAGAAAAGCAAAAAAGAAATCCTCCAGGAAAAATCAACTAGCCCCCTAAACTTCCTCCTTTCTTTCTTTTAATTGCGGCGGCACATCAGCAGAACGAAGCCCTCCAGCTGTCCTTCCCTCGCGGAATTTACCAAAATGGGCGTAATATCTTCTTTTCCAAAAATACCCCTGGGACAAACTCTATCATCTGGACTCCTTTTCTGTCAAATTGGCACATGTTATCATATTTTCGTTCTATTCCCTGAAATAAATACAAATTACGAGAAGTGAGTAGAATCTACTAATTAATCCACATCAGGTCAGGTAATAGGGGAAATTAATTATAAAATAAATGAGAAAATTACACCCTATCAATTCCTCCCACACCTAAACCATGCTTGCCCTCAAGCATAAGAAAATTGCACAGACACCACAATTTGATAATGGTCATTGCTCTACCTATCAAATTGCCAAGATATCAAGAAAAATCATATATCGAGCACTAGTGATTAAAATCCAAGAAACATCCCCCCAGTTAGCCTCTAAACCACAAATTTCTTCAATTTTCAAATTAGCTAATTTAGGAAAAAGGAATGGCACACAATATTTATCAACTAATGGTCCAAATATTCACACAAGTCTCCATATCAAATCCATAAACCGGCAAACTTTTCTATTATTTGTTCTCTCCCCCCCCTTTTCTTTTGATAATAATAACAACAAAAAAAGACTTAGTCTCTAGTCATTGGAGCCTTTTGACGCGAATTCCAATATTTTTAGATGCAGGAGCCCGGTTACTCAGCTCTTACCGCTATACGACCACGTACTCATAGAAAGTTCTACTTTTTGACGCGAGAATCGATACTTTTAGGTGCAGATCCCCGATTACTCAGTAGTAACTAATAGCGGAGTACAATCAAGCTTATTCACAGCCAAACAACGCAAAAACGCAAAATAACAACACTAACAACCAAGCATAGGAGCACTCGCCTCATTATTGCCAAACATGGGGAACTGGAGTCAATATTGGACCAGTTCACATTAAAATGCCAACAGTCATTCTCTATGCCTAGAAAAGTTAAAACAGAAATCAAAAGAGTCAAGCGGTCCGATATTCACCAAGGAGACGTCTTGGACTCAACCACACCAATTCGATACACTTTTATCATTAAAACTTGGCAAGAGTAGGTTTAAGGTCAATCACCCAACATCAAACTGTGGCATTCATATGAGAGCTAATCAGCAAAGAGAGAAAGAGACTCAAATAACGAACTAGAATTAAGGAAAAAACACCTAAACATTAAAAACTACTAAAAATGAGAACCACAACTGATCCAATCCCCCCCACACCTAAACGAGACATTGTCCCCAATGTATAAAGTAAACATCAAAAGCAAAAGAAAGGGCAACAAAACTCCCCTGAAATCGGGTCAAAATGGAGGGTGAAGTGGTGCTGGGGGAGTGAAACCCGAGTGCTGCATGAAAGCTGCCAGATTTTGTGCCATAGCCGCCACGTTGCTGTCAATGTTAATCATCCGGTCCTCCAAATTCTGAACCTGCGTCCGAAGCTGGTGCCAGTCCTCAGCTGTTGCTTGTGGAAGGGGCTGAGCAGATGTCGACGGGCCAGGTTCACCGCCAACTGGGGCCGAATGGGTGAAGGAAGAGCGAGGTGGAGCGCGGGGCGGTCCCAGGGGCACAAATCGGTAGTGGCCATCGACAAGCTCCAGAACCCCCATTTTCTCTAAGCGGTCGGCAGTGAGATATTCCATGTCGCAGGCCAAGTGCAGATTGTGATCCTGTAGATTCAAAACGCCGAGCTGGATCGCCTAGTGCGTGATATACGACCCAAGGATCAAGGGTTTGTTTTTCTTTGCCATAACGGATTTGAACTGTGCCGCCAACCAACACCCCAAGTTGACCTTGAAACCATTCTTCATGCACCAAAGGAAGAAGAGCTCCGGCCGAGAGATAATACCGGAGCTGTCTTTTCTACCCGAGTAGCTGTATGCTAAAAGCCTCTGAACATACCGAGCGTTCAGGTCCTCAAGAAAGGAGCTCCGAGACCTAGAGGGGTCATAACGCTGCCTGTCGACAGACATGTCCTCCCACACCTCACGGTAGGCGGAAAGAAAAGGCTCCACATAATCGCAGGCACTCTCGCCGTATTCCCTAGTCTCTGCATACTCTCGAGTGATGAAACCGAAAGCCAGATTGAACTGGGTGATAGAGAAATTGAATTCTGGGGGCATGAGACGGAGGTGGATGACATCGGGAGTCTCAACAGTATACCTAGTAGGTAATTCAAACTCAAAAGTGGCGTAAAACTCTCTAGTCAACTCGACAAATGCGGGTTAGAAGACCTCAAGATAGGGGCGCCATCCAATGGCGGTGTACATGCGTTCAACCTCCGCTTGGATACCCAGAAAATCCATAGTTATGTCGTCCGCGCACTTGCACGGGATTATACGTCGCTCACAGGCTTGAGCATAGCGCCGCTGATCGGCGGGTCTAGTGAACTCTAAATGCCTTCCCAAGTGAGTGGCGGAAGCCATGTGGGCACCCCGACCCCTGCCTAACCTAGTTCGGACTTGATAGAAGAGTTATTTGGCACATTTTGCAGTGTTATTTTGGCCTAATTTTGGCTATTTACTGTGCTAAATACTGAGGTTCAACTCATATCTCACATTTGTATGAATTGTAGGTGGTCGGCATAAAAAATGAGCTCGCGAGGTAATTTTCAGAAGATCTTTCATTTCAGAGCGTGGCCACGCCTTGGAAGGTGGACGAAACCGAAAGACGGACCGTGGTCCACGTGAACCCGGAACGTGGGATCAGAGCTCTAGAGACAACACTAGGCTTTGCACCAGACGTTTCCTTTTTTTGCTTCTTCTTGGACGGCGGCTATAAGAAGAAAAGGACAAAGCAAGATTGGAAAATAAACTTTTTGACCCTAGCTTTAGTTTTCTTTTGGCTACTTTTTGTCAGACGCCTCCCTTCGCTTTTGTTTTCTTCTTGGGCAGCAAATTAGATAGGGAGATTTACATCGAATAAAAACAGTAGCTTTAGTTTTTTTCTTTCCGGAGGCGCTAGAAGTCCTTTTTTCTTTTTGACTTTCAACTTTTCCGCTGGACAGAACCTTCGTAGCGTTTTGCTTTGTAATTGCGATTCTGAAGCAAAGACGAAGGCAGGGCCTTCTCTGTTGTTATTGCAATTAATTTCCCTTCCTCAATTCTTCGGCAATTAATTGAATGAATTCAATTAAGTCACGCGGGTTTGTCACGATGAGGAGCGGCTAATTTCCTCCTCTACCCAAAGGTTGACGCGAGGGCGCGGTCCATAACATCTGTGAGATCTAATCAAGCTTTCATTATTTCTTCCAATTCGTTATTATTCGTGCGTTTCCTGAATTAATTGTTCATAGGTATTTTATTAATTGAATATCAACGGCCGGATATTTGATTTAATTTAATAGCCTACTGCCACGTTAATTAAATAGAATCCGTAATTGTTCATTTAGTTAACTCCCCGTGACAACCACCATAATTGGTTTTATGATGGGGAAATGCAGGATCTAATTTAAATAAACCCTCTTAGCGTGTTTATTGGTTAGGATTGGATTCTTCTAACTCTAATGCAAACGGGTAATTAAATTCCTACGGTCGTACCTAGGGTTGTTATCTGGTTAGGGAAGCAGTCAATGGTCGTACCTTGACTGTCGAAAAGGTAAGGAAGAATTGGTTGTCAGAGTTTATTGACAGCTATAACCAATCAAGTGACGAATTGATTAAATATCTGTGCATCGATGATCGTTTAATTGGACCGTGCCTGAGCAGTTGATCCTTTGGGTAGAACTTTTATTAATTGCTAGTTTTAGTGAATTGTGTTTTGCGAGTTAGTTTTGAATTTAGTTCGCTTTATTTTACTTTTATTTTATTTAATTCTCTCCCATTGAAAATTCCCCCAATTTTGTTCTACTGATTTGGAAAGAAATACTTTCCTACCCGCTCCCTGTGGAATCGACTCTACTTGCCATTGTATGCAAAAATTAATATTTTTATAGACAAATCCGGTATATCGGATCAAGCAAACTCTTCGGAAATAGGGTGAATCAAGTAACCCATTGCACACCTAGGGTCCCTGCTCCAGTACTTGGATTAGTTTTATAATTATTAATTGAGGTGGTAATTAGGACGTTTTAGTAATTATTATTGCACAGGTTCGGCACCTGTCAATTTTTGGCGCCGTTACCGGGGAGTTGGCGTTTGGATTATTTGTTTCTTTTTAAATTCAGTTTTTATTTTATTTTATTCTTCTTGGTATTTTTGCTAGTTTATGCCCCATTCTTCTCGCACAGGTGAATTGGTATACGATCCTGAGATTGAGAAGGCAGCGCGTAGGCGGAGGCAAGAGACCAAGAGACAAAAAGAAGGGCACTTATTTGCTGTAAATGAGTCAGCGGAAGACGAAGTAAGCATGGCCAACACCCAAACATTGAGGGAGCTGGCTGCCCCGGAGCTGACTCACCAGCCCCTATGCATCACATTCCCCACTTTGGCTGAGAATACTGCTTTTGAACTGAAGTCGGGGTTGATTCACCTCCTACCTTCTTTCCATGGTCTCTCTGGTGAAGAACTCCACAAGCACGTAAAGGAGTTCGAGGTGGTCTGCTCTAGTATGAAACCTCCTGGGGTCACTGAAGAGCAAATTAGACTGAGAACCTTTCCGTTCTCTCTCAAGGATGCAACTAAAGATTGGTTGTACTACCTACCAGCAGGTAGTATTACCACATGGGCGCAGCTGAAAAAGAAATTCTTAGAAAAATTCTTCCCTGCATCCCGAGCTGCGAGTTTGAGGAAGGAGATCTGCGGCATCAAACAATATCCCGGTGAGTCCCTGTATGAATACTGGGAAAGGTTTAACAAGTTGTGCACTAGATGCCCGCAGCATCAAATTAGTGAGCAACTATTAATCCATTACTTCTATGAAGGGCTCCAATCAACAGACAGGAGTATCATTGACGCTGCCAGTGGGGGAGCACTTGCAAACAAGACACCGAGGGAAGCGTGGGAGCTCATCGAAGCCATGGCACAGAACTCCCAGCAATTTGGCTTCCGTGAGAGCAACCCTCCCCGTAGAGTCAACGAGATAGAGACTTCATCCTTACAGCAGCAACTGTCAGAATTGACATTGGTTGTTAGGCAATTAGCCATGAGAGACACGCCGCGAGCGAAAGTATGTGGAATCTGTATTAGCATGGACCATTGCACAGACTCGTGCCCCATTTTGCAAGAGGACGGGGCAGAACAGGTAAACATGGCCGGAGGCGTGCCCGCGCCCCGCAGGCAGTACGACCCATACTCCAATACGTACAATCCGGGTTGGAGGGACCATCCCAATCTCAGTTATGGGAACAGGCAACAAAATTTATTTCCGAATCGTCCACCAGGATTCCATCAGCCATGGCAACCAAAATCTCAACCCTCGTTCTCCAATTCAGGGAGTTCCCTGGAGGACCTAGTCAAAAACCTGGCCACGACTACTACTAATCTGGCCACGCCTACTACCCAGCTTCAACAGGAGATCAGATCCTTGGCCGCGAATACCGCGCAGCTCCAACAGGATACCAAAGCTGACAAGAAGGACCAAGACGTTTGAATAAGCCAACTGGCAACTGCCATCAACCGCTTGGAGTCCCATGTTTATGGAAAACTGCCATCGCAACCCGAGGTAAATCCCAGGAATGTAAGTGCCATGACGCTGAGGAGTGGCAAGGAACTGGAAGGGCCTAAAGTGGAAAGTTCAAAAAGCAAAAGTGAAGAGGAGATAGAGAAGGAAATTGAAGAGGAAGGGCGTATTCGCAAGGATCCTAAGGTAACCTTCACTTCTCCGCCCACTATTAAATCTAACTTACCTCCTTTTCCTTGCAGGTTGGAGAAGACAAAAAAGGCAGAGAAGGAAAAAGAGCTGTTGGATGTGTTCCGAAAAGTGGAGATTAACATCCCTTTACTGGATGCAATCAAGCAGATACCAAAATATACTAAATTTCTCAAGGATCTGTGCACCCATAAGAGGAAACTAAGAGGGGACGAAAGAGTAGCGGTGGGAGAGAATGTGTCAGCAATGCTCCAAAGAAAGCTCCCACCCAAGTGTGGAGATCCAGGTATGTTCACGATCCCCTGTAAGATAGGGAATACACCGATTAGGAAAGCAATGTTAGATTTAGGGGCGTCAATCAATGTGATGCCAAAGACTATTTTTGCTTCTGTAAATCTTGGGCCACTTAAAGAAACAGCTATCATAATTCAACTAGCTGATCGCACAAATGCATATCCAGAGGGGCTAGTTGAGGATGTCTTGGTTCAGGTAAATGAATTGATTTTTCCTGCAGATTTTTATATCTTGGACATGGGAGATGAAAAATCATTAAACCCGTCACCTATCTTGTTAGGTAGACCATTTCTTAGCACTGCCAGGACTAAAATAGATGTGAATGAGGGTCCTTTATCAATGGAATTTGATGGTGAAACTGTGAATTTTAATATTTTTGAGGCGATGAAATATCCAGAAGAATCTAACTCGGTCTTTGCTTTGAGCGTTATTGAGCATTTTGTGCAGGAAATTTTCGAATTAGATGGCGAAGACGCTTTGGAAGTGGCTCTAGTCAAGCATCTGGAGTTGGGTGTAACTCCTGATGTGGATCTAAGGGGAGATTTGCTCCATGCTGTGGAAGCCTTACACTCACTTCCACCCGTATCCCCAAGGTATGAACTTACTTCACTTTTTGCGCCAGAGGCTCAGACAAAGTTGCTCCCTTCAGTGGTGCAGGCACCGGAGTTGGAACTAAAACCTCTCCCGAAGCATCTAAAGTACGCATTCCTAGGAGACCGGGTGACACTGCCGGTAATCATCTCTGCACACCTGTCTCCAAGTCAAGAAGACAAACTAGTACGGATCCTGAGGGAGCATAAGGAGGCAATTGGGTGAAGTATAGCAGATATCAAGGGAATAAGTCCATCCTTATGTATGCACCGAATTCGGCTCGAGGAAGATGCGAAGCCGGTAAGACAGGCTCAAAGAAGATTGAACCCCCTGATGATGGAAGTTGTGAAAAAGGAGATACTCAAACTCCTAGAGGTGGGGATCATTTTTGCTATCTCGGATAGTCCATGGGTGAGTCCTGTCCAGGTAGTCCCGAAAAAGGCCGGAGTGACCGTGGAGGAGAACCAGGAGGGTGATATGGTCCCGGTCCGAAAAGCTACTGGCTAGCGTCAGTTCATCGACTACAGGAGGCTAAATGCCGTGACTAAAAAGGATCACTTCCCCCTCCCTTTTATTGATCAGATGGTAGAACGATTGGCAGGTCGTGTTTACTATTGTTTCTTGGATGATTTTTCAGGTTACTTTCATATCGCAATCGCACCAGAAGACCAGGAAAAAACCACCTTCACATGCCCATTTGGCACGTTTGCCTACCGCCGGATGCCTTTCGGTCTCTGCAATGCTCCGGCAACTTTTCAAAGGTGCATGGTAAGTATTTTCTCAGAATATGTGGAAAAAATAATTGAGATATTCATGGATGATTTTAGTGTGTACGGGGACAGTTTTGATGAATGCCTTGAAAATCTAGCTCTAATTCTGAAAAGGTGCATAGAGACGAATTTGGTACTTAATTGGGAAAAATGTCACTTTATGGTAGATTATGGCATTGTCTTAGGGCACGTCGTGTCGGCTAAGGGCATAGAGGTAGATAAAACTAAGATAGACCTTATTTCTGCTCTACCTTACCCCGTATGTGTACGGGAAGTGCGTTCGTTTTTTGGCCATGCAGGCTTTTACAGGAGATTTATCAAAGATTTTTCAAAGATAAGAACACCCCTGTTCAAGTTACTGCAGAAGGACGTGCCATTTGATTTCACAAATGAATGCGAGGTGGCTTTTGATAAACTGAAGGAATCATTGACATCGCCGCCTGTCATTCAACCCCCATATTGGAGCCTTCCGTTTGAAATTATGTGCGACGCGAGTGACTATGTCGTGGGCGCCGTGTTGGGACAAAGAATTGGAAGAGCACCACACGCGATCTATTATGCGTCGAGAGCCTTAAGTGGAGCCCAACTTAATTACTCCACAACGGAGAAAGAATTACTAGCTGTTGTTTTTGCACTAGAGAAATTTAGGTCATATTTATTGGGTGCAAAAGTAATAGTTTTCTCTGATCATGCAGCCTTGAGGTACTTGCTGGCGAAGAAGGATGATAAACCAAGACTGATCAGGTGGATCTTGCTCCTGCAGGAATTCGATCTAGAGATCAAGGACAAGAGCGGAGGTGAGAATTTGGTGGCTGATCATTTGAACCGGTTGCTCACAAATCAAGAGGATCTACCGTTAAGAGAATCATTTCCTGAGGAACAATTATTAGCCATTGATTCGTCAACACCTTGGTACGCTGACATTGTAAATTTTTTGGTCACGAATCAATTACTTGCAGGTTGGCCAAAAGCTAAAAGAGATAAACTAAAGAGTGATGCCAAACACTACCTTTGGGATGACCCCTACCTGTGGAGGTAATGTTCAGACCAAGTGATAAGAAGATGTGTAAGTGCAGGTGAGTTTCACTCTATTTTGACTTTCTGTCATTCGTTTGCATGTGGAGGGCATTTTGGTCCAAAGCGGACAGCTCGTAAAGTGCTAGAAAGTGGTTTTTATTGGCCTACTCTGTTTAGGGATGCATATTTGTTTTGCAAATCTTGTGATAAGTGTCAAAGGGTGGGGAATATCTCTCGAAGAGACCAAATGAGTCAAACCCCCATATTATTTGTTGAGATTTTTGATGTCTGGGGTATAGATTTCATGGGTCCCTTCCCCTCGTCTTTTGGTTTCTTGTACATTATACTTGCTGTTGACTATGTTTCCAAATGGGTGGAGGCAAAAGCCACCCGGACTAATGATTCTAGAGTGGTTGCAGATTTTATAAGATCTAACATTTTCGTCCGTTTTGGAATGCCAAGAGCCATAGTGAGTGACAGGAGCACCCATTTCTGTAATAAGACGATCACTGCTTTGTTTCGTAAGTATGGTGTGCTCCACAAAGTGTCCACTCCCTACCATCCCCAAACGAATGGTCAAGCCGAAGTATCAAACAGGGAAGTTAAGTCGATCCTGGAGAAGATGGTGAGGCCTGATAGAAAGGATTGGAGTGTGAAATTGGAAGATGCTCTCTGGGCCTATCGCACTGCGTATAAGACACCGATTGGGATGTCCCCATACAGGTTAGTTTTTGGGAAGCCTTGCCACCTCCCGGTGGAATATGAACACAAAGCATTTTGGGCACTTAAGCGGTGTAATATGGACCTTATGGAGGCCGGAGGAAATAGGAAGCTCCAATTACAAGAGTTGGAGGAGCTAAGGAATGAAGCCTATGAGAACGCTGCAATATACAAGGAGAAGAGTAAAATTTTTCATGACCAACAAGTGTCGAGGAAGTCGTTTGTCACAGGGCAAAAAGTCCTACTTTATCACTCGAGACTTAAGCTTTTCCCTGGTAAGTTGCGTTCCCGTTGGATTGGTCCATTTGTTGTTACTAATATTTCCCATTATGATGCAGTGGAAATCCAAAGTCTGAAGACGGAGAAGAAGTTCGTGGTAAATGGTCATCGTTTGAAACCCTATTATGAAGGGTTTGATAATGATCAAACGGAGGTTTTATTCCTTGGTGATCCGAGTGGGGAGGCCTAAACAATTGAAGGCCATGTCTAGTCAAAGACGTTAAAGAAAGGCGCTGCTTGGGAGACAACCCAAGGATTACAATAGTAGTTGTGATCATTTTTACTTACTCTGCAATTTTTCAGTTTCATCTTAATGTTTGGACTGTTTTTGTGGTGTTGGACAGAAGAGTAGAGGTTCCAAAGCGTGCCCACGTCCTGAAAGGGTCGCGCCAGGTGCCCTGAGCGAATTGGAGACTAGCAGTCTCAAGGCGTGCCTGCGCTTGCACAAAAATTCCCTTGAGTATCATTAGGATGCGCTGGGCAGAGAACTAGGTCCTTCAAGGCGTGCCCACGCCTTCCAACCTTTCCGATAGCGAAAAAAAAAATTTTTTTTTTCCAGGACTTCACTTTTTTTTTCCACTTTTCTCCCCGTGGGTCTTACCTAGTTTCTCCCCAAATTGCTTTTGCCTAACCTCCAGCACTTCTTCTTCCAATCTTGGTCAGCCGCCGCCTCCTGCCGCCGCACATTGCTGTCCGCCGTCCGCTGCAGCCAACACTCAGATCGAGCAGCCGCGCGCCTCCACGACGTCCACCGCAGCACCGCGCGCGAGACCACCACCAGCAGCAGGTCAGCCGCGGCCCTCCAAGACCCAGCCCGCAGCTGCCTGAACGTGCGGCCTGCACAGCCGCGCCCAGCACTGACGCGCCATCACCTTGCGCGACTCCCAGCACGCGCACGCCCGTGCGCGCGACAGCTGCGCTGCCTGCGCCTCTGCGTCCCCCTTGCGCGCGGCCCCTGCCTCAGCAGCATCAGCGCCCAGCTCCCTCTAACGCGCGCTTGCCCACTTGCGCGCAGCCCCCTTCCCCTGAGCAGTCACACACCAGCGCCCACGACCTGCTCTGCCGACCAGTCCTCTGCGCGCGCGCCCAGCCTCAGCTCTCCTTCTCCGCCAATTTCTTCTTCAGCGAGGACAAAGGGAAAAAGTGGTACCCTTATTCGCCTTTCTTGTTGAACTGGTGACTTCAATTGGGAATTTTAATTGATGAATGTTTGCCTCCTTTTGGGTTGCTATAATTGTTGGTATTGTCGGGGGACCATTTGATTTTTGTCTGACTGGGAGAGTCCTCATATCTGCCTTGCATTCATTACCTACTTTGGGAAATCGTGGGCTCTAGTGAATTTATTATTTGGAACACGTGGTCGGTAGCTCTCTAATTGTTGCCTTTTATTGACTAATATCTTGATTTGAGGGGAGTTGGTTCGGTCTTCTTTATGGTTGTCGGCTAATTGACGGCATTGGGGCATTGGTTGGTGTGTGTGGTCTGGTCGTTGTTTGGTGGGGTAACTGTGTCCCCTCTTGTTGTTGAGCTGCTGAGTATTTAGTAATTTTGTTGACTGTGGTCCCATATCTGCTTTTGGTGGTTGGTTGGCTGTCTCTGAGCTGATTTGTTATTCCGGTGGTCCCTAAATGCCTCCTAAGAAGGCAACTACTGCTGGGCCGTCTGGGTCCCAGCCTCGGAAGAGACGAGCTCCGGTCCAACCCCCCATTCGGTCCCGTCTGGGCCTGAATAAGAGTACCATGTCTCCTGGGGAGTGGGGGGAACCGATCACTAATCTTACAACGGCACAACAGGACCGGTTTAACACTTTGGTGAATCGACCTGTTGCTCCTTGCAAGTGCTTCCATGCCCCAACCCTGGACCATCTGCGAATTGCTCGGGAGGTTGAGCAGTTGTTCTCGGCGATAGGCTGGGAAAGGTATCTGAGCATTAACTACCCCACGTTTGAGGAGTTTTGTTGTGAATTCTACTGCTCTTTTGAGTTTATCAGGAATCAGTACATCACTTTGGATAAGTCGGAGATTATTCGGTTTAGATTAAAAGGCAAACATTATGATTTTTCAATCAATGAGTTTAATCTGACTTTGGGGTTTGTCAGTGAGGAAACCATTGCCTCCGGAGAGTATATTAATAGTGCTATTGACTACACCAGACCGTTCAGAACTGAATATATTGACATCTGGAGGGAGTGGTCCACGGATCGGCAGGTTTATAATCCGAGTCAGTCCAAGGCCTCTGAACTGAAGGATCCGGTCTTAAAGGTCATCCACAGGTTCTTGGCTTACAATTTCTCGGGGCGGAAGGATTCCTCCGGCACCCTTACCAAAGCAGAATTCTACTTCCTTTGGTGCATGTGCAACAATGTTAAGGTTAATTTTGGGTGTTGGATAGCCACTCAAATGGAGTCAATCATTCATAAGCACAATAAACCGATTATCC